GTGATTTAACTTGTCTTGCACGAGCTGGAAGGGGTGGTGGCACTGCTTTCTGTGACCTGTGAGCATGTACAGAGTGGCAGTGATTGAAGCAAATACCATTTCTCTTCTGTCACTGCAGATTATGCTTAAGTTTTTAGCAGCACTTAATCAAGATGTAGAAATGTTTAATGAAACCAGTATTCTTGAGTAAAAAGTTTCTTAAAGCACATAGAGTGACTGGTGTTAAGTTGTGCTTTGGATTGTGTTCAGCAGTATTTGTTAAATCTTTGTTGTGTCATTGCAGGTTGGCAAAAGCAGCTTTCGATGATGCTATTGCAGAACTGGATACACTGAGTGAAGAAAGCTATAAGGACTCTACACTTATCATGCAGTTGTTACGTGATAACCTGACACTATGGACTTCAGACATGCAGGGTGATGGTAAGTGAGTCCTGCTGGGAAAGCTCATCCTGACCCAGGGAACAGAGTGTGGAAATGGAGAGCCTTTGATGGTTTACTTCTGTCTTTCCTAATAACGACCCTCCTGTCTTTCCTTAACACTGGGTCAGGTGGTAGGGGTGACACTGGGGTCTTTTGAGCTCTCACTTGAAGGAAGGAGGTGTGGAATTAGCAACACTTTTGTTTTTCCCTCCCCACATGGCAGCTGTGATGACTGTAAAAGCAGTGACTTCATTTATTTCATCTTTTCTTTCTTTCTGCTTGTCATGCTCATCTCTGGCTGTCATTCCAAGCAGAGTGAACCTCCAGTGCAGGAGGAAGCCCTGGAAATGCTTTAGTTTCCCTTCATTCCAGGTCACTCCATGTTCTCATTGCCAGAGCAAATGTCAAATGTGTCCCCTGGCAGTACCAGAGGGTGGGACGTGGATTGCTTCTGTTCACTAGCAAAGGATAGCACAAATTTTTGAAGTGGTTTTGGCACACTGAATGGACTTCCCCAACACTTAAACTTGCACATTCAATGCTTAGTATAAATCTACTCATTTTAGGGTTTCTCTCTTGGAGAGACAAATGAAAAGAGCTGACTTCTTTACTTTTAACTTGGAGGGGAAGAAATAAGTCCTGTTAAGATTATTTTGGGTACCTACAAGTGCCCAGAGCTTAGAAACAACACTCCTGAACTTCAAATAAAGATGTGAGTGTCTTAAATTTTTGGTAAGCTGTTCCTTGTAGCCACACAGCATTCCTGGGGATACTTCACTGGTGGTGTGTCCATTTGAAAGCAAATGCAGAATCTTTTAACTTTTTCCCAATTCCCAGTTTTTATGTAGGGTGATGGGTTTGCTTTGAGGTGTTGTTATTCCATAGCTTGTCACTCTGCTCTTTGGGCTGCTGGGACTGGGAATGCTGTAAATGTGTGGGGTCTTGGCTCCTGGTTTGCTCCACATCCCAGTGTTTAAGGCTCTTGTGCCTCCCTTTTCAAGGATTATCTCCTAGTGCAGGATGGGCCCTGGATGGATCTGTAGACTTTTCTCCAAACATTCCAGGTGTTGAATACCTTCCTTGCCATGGGTAGGCATTGGAGAGAGAAATGTATTTCAAATTCCTCAATTCAGATACAACCTTTACTTTTTTTACTGGGGCCAAGTACCCTGGTAGTTTGTGGAAGCCATTTTAGTGGAGTGACAAGGTTGGATCAGTGTGGGATAATACCAATATCTTCCAAACAGTGTCTTCCAAAAGTTCCTGATTTGCCCACAAGCTGATGTCTCTCATGGATCTTGGATATAGATGTTCCACAGGATTATTTACAGGCTCTTAAGATTTTGAAAAAAGAAATAGAGATCTAAATTTCTTGCTCCACAGCATGGAAAATAGACATCTTTGTTCTTCCTGAAGTAGTTCAGGTTGTCTTGGTTACTGGTGCCAGAAAGATAATGGTGACAGAATTGAAAATACTGTAGGACTGCTTAAAATCGTGATGGAATTCTTCAGATCCAGAGAAGTGATAATGTAGAATGTTTAGACACAGGTGCAAAGTTATGTTTCCTCATACTTTGCTTATACTCTGCGTGCATTTCCAGCTGTTGGTTCCAGAGCTGCATATTCCCAAACGAGCAGAGCCTTTGAACAATTAATCAATAGTGGCACAATAAATCAAATAGTGGCAAATTGGCAGTTTCCAGGGGATGGGAGAGGCTTGGAAAGGGCTTGTTCTTTGGCATTAAGCTTTTCCCTGTTTCCATTTCAGCCATGTAGGGATGTAAAGCCAGGCATGACTCAGCTGCTGCACTCCCATCTCAATCCCTGTAGTTTTCCCATGGCCCAGATGAGTGTTGAGTTTGTTTCCACACTTGTAATGTCATCTCCATATGATTCCTGTTCTCCCCTTCTTTCCTGCTGTATAGATTCCTAAAGGAAAATCCAACTGTTCATTTCCTAAAAACTCTACTTTGTAAGTCTCTTGTTGTGGCTCACTGGAGTTTTCAGTGTCAGTTTTCCTGTCACTAACAGTGCCTGCCTCTGTCACCTGCTGCTGACAAACGCTTGTGTCCCTGCTGCCACTCCTGTGGCACCTGTCCCCTGCCCAGGGATGAGAGGATCCTGAGTACCTCACATGTTTGGGAATTGAGCTGCAAACCTGGATGGATAGAAGAATATTTGGGCATGGGGAGTACTTCACAGTGGCCTGGTAGAGGAGTACTTGCTCAAGTGTGTTGGTTAGAGCATGCTCAGATCTTCTCATCTGGGTTAAAGCATCTGCTTTCCTCTCTTAAATAGAATTCTATCTATAAACTTTATTGTTGTTGAATGTCCTGTGTTCCTAGGCCCCTCTTCCAAAATCTACTTCCTATTGTACCTGGTGGTAATCCTGAATCTGGACATGCTCTGAGCAAACATTCTGGTTATCTGCTGGAAGTTACCTGTCTCATTTGATTGTGTTTTATTGCAAATTAAGTTTTTAATTACTAGTTTCTGTTTATTTCCCTTAAGAGAAAGTCCCATCTTATGTGGTTACAGATAATTGTAAGCATTTTTTCAGCCTCCCTTATCAATTAAGTGACTTGTGCATGTGTGATGGCACCAGCTGAGGTACCTGGAACTTGCCCAGTTGCAGCAGAATTTTGGCAAACCCTGCAGGAGTTGCATGGAGCTCCCTGGGGCAGCTGGAGTGTAACTAAACTGCAGGAGGCTCATGGACAGCCCCATTCCACTGCATGGCACAGCCTGCTTGAACAGAGACATGAATTTCCACAAGATGTTTTTAATAACCTTAAAGCCAGGGTTTCTTGTCAGGTTGGACTCGCAGTAGGGTGTTTTTCATACCTTTGGTAATTCCTGCCAGCAGTGGAACTGTATAAAATTCCCTGAGGTACTTTGCTGTTGAGGCTTGAGTGGGCTTAGGCAGAAAAAGAGGGGAGGGTTTGGGGAAGGGATTTCCAGATCCAAGGTGTTGATCCACAGCTGTTGCCATGGTTTCTGCCTGGGCTGTCCAGCCCTGGCTCAGCAGGACTGCTCACCTGAGTGGTGTCAGTTTTCAGGGCTGGGTTTGTTTGTCCTCACATGTTTTGATGGCCTGGCTGCAGTTGTGTGTGAGGGTGCAGGTGATTCCAAGGCTTTGTTTCCATGGGAATGCTTCACTCTGAAGTGTGGAGTGGGAGAGTGAGTGTGTATTGCATGAAAATATTAATCTCTGGGTGCTTGTTAAACTGTTCTGCAGCTCTGAGTTTTATATGGTAACATTTTCCTTCCTTCTTCCCATTTCCACAGGTGAAGAACAGAATAAAGAAGCGTTGCAGGATGTGGAAGATGAAAACCAGTGAGACACAAAGGCCAACAAGAGAACCCATCTCTGACCACCCTCCCCCTTCCCCACAAAAACCCTCAGTGTCACTCTGAGAACCACCAAATCTGACTTTTACATTGGGTCTCAGAATTTAGGTTCCTGCCCTGTTGGGTTTCTTTATTTTTATTTTTTTTACACAGTTTAAAAGTTCTTAAAGGCAAGAGTGAATTTCTGTGGATTTTACTGGTGCCAGCTTTTAGGTTCTTTAAGACACTAACAGGACTGCGTAAAGGCTCTTTCAGCATTACTGTATTGTCTCTGCCAGCTGTGGTGACATTGCCATCAGACCTGGATGTGACACCTGAAGGCCGTGTAGGGAGAGATTGGTCCTGGCCAGGTAGTGCTCATGTGGTGGCATCTTTCTTTTTTTATAACTGTTTAAACTGAATTTTATACCAATGTTTCAACTTAATTGGGTGTTTAGCTTGAAGTTGCGAGGTTGCATTTGGGACATTTATTGTAGTGGTTTTACTGTATAAAAACAAATAGTTTCCAAACTGCTGAAATGTTGCTGAAAATCATGGTGCTGGTAACAGTTCAACAATCCGTGGCTGCTCATTCTTGCCTGTTCTTTACTTTCCCTCCAAGCAGGTTAGCATTGAAGGTGGCATTGATAAGCCTGCATGCGTGTTCAATATTTTTTCTTTTCTCCCTCCCCTCTCCCCATCTCCCTTCGCTCGCTCAACCTCTTTTGTTCAGTATGTGTAACTTGAAGCTAATTTGTACTACTGGATATCTGACTGGAGCCACAGATACAGAATCTGTATTGTTCTTACTGAAACACAGCATGGAATTAACATTAAACTTAAATAAAACAAACCTAAATTAAAAATGCCAACCATCACTATGAATTTCTTTTAGAAGAGTAACTTTGCTTTGTTGCTTGTACTAGGAACAGTTGGAGGGGGAGAGAGCAGCAGGAACAGCCTTGTTCTTCAGACAGGAGCTAAGGAAGATTTGGTCTGAGCGTGAGTTGTGCTGCTGGGAGCAGCTCTTTTATCCAGTCTTCCCCTCTAGAAATCCCTGGGAAATGGTTGGTGAATTCCTCTCACCTGCTGTTCCAGTTCTCATCCAGTGCAATTCCATAGATGGAGAGAAGGGACACAGGTTATCTGCTCTGCTGGGAATAACCTGCTCCTTGGAATGGACACAGAGCTGGGGCTGGGTCAGCCTCCCCCTAAACCACGTAAGGAAACTGCATCAAAGGCAAGGGCTGTTGGTTTTTTGTAAAAATTTATTCAGCGTAGTCTGGCAGAGGTTATACACCAACATCTGCAGCGTGCTCTGCACACACTGAGCACATCTGGGGATGGCCTGCAGTGTATCCCACATCCCAGCCAGGAGCAGGGCTGGGCAATGGCATTGTGTCAGGAACCAGAGCAGGAGAGGGAGCTGAGGCTGTGAGAGAGGCAGCAGTGGGTGAGAGGCATTCAGGGCTGGCTGTGGCTGCAGCAGGATGGAGGGGAAGGGTGTCTAAGGCAAGTGGAGCAGGATGCACAGGCTGGGCTGTGGAGCTGTGCCAGGGATGCAGCAGGAATTCCCCATGCAGCCCTGCACCCTGCAGCTGTTTGGATTAAAGGAAGGTGCTGAGGAGGAGCCTGTGCTGCAGCCAGCCCCTGTGTCCTTGGAGCTGTGGGGCAGCAGCAGTGCCCAGCCCTCCTGGTAATGCAGCACTGAGGCACTGGTATAAATACTGTAGGAATCAGACTTCCAGTTATGGAACAAGAGGAAAAGGCATTTTCCTGAAGGTGCTGCTCTGAGCCTGCGGAGCTGTGTGGGGAAGGGGCAGTGGGGACTCCCAGACAGGGAAAGAAAGGGAGGGGGGAAGCTCATGTTCATCCCATGGCCAGCCCAGAGCAGTGGTAACCTCTGCAGTTTGTATTACATTGTGTTTGTGTGGATATGAAAAATTCCTATGGTATAAAAATAGCAAGAAATGGGACAGCTGACTTCAAAAAAAGATAAAAGTCTCTGGCTCCTGATCAGTGAAGTTACATGATGGGTTTTTCAGGTTATACCTTGTAACCATAAACTAAAACCAACAAAAATTCCAAATCTAAAACATAAATTTTCCACATCAACTCCATCTCTCGTAGTGCATCTCATCCTTGGCTATAAAGTATTTACAGGTTTTACTCATTTACACAATATGGCTTCACTATATTTGTAACACAAAGCATTAAAACATCTCCGAGCAAAATTCTTCATAATACAAAGTTTGGCATTTCAGTGATTTGGCTGAGAAAGCAGCAGAGTTACTTGTTTTCTGATTGTGCTTTTTTTTGGTGATGACAAGCACAAAGTTTGGTCATTTCCATCAGGGCTTAAACTCTTCCTCAAAGCCCAGCTGAAGGTCCTGAGCTGTAGTTGCAGGAATGCTGTGCTGGACCCAACACTCAGTCGGGTAAGGAGGAGAGGAGAAGGCCTTTGTCTGGGACTTTGAGAGTAAGACAAGAGAGCAAGGATGTATTTTGTGGTTGTTCTGAAAGTGCAGGTCTTTGGTAGTAACAGAAAGAGCAAAGCGAGGAGGGGGGGTTTGCTGGGAGCAATGTTCAGCCAATTCTGTGGAGGGAAGGTCCTGGAGCAGGGAAATTTTCATCATCGGGAATTCAACCGAGGAGCGACCTGCAGGAGAAGGACAGGTTTGAAAGCGTGTTCAAAATGCTGCAGAAGTGAATTCCTGGGCATGCTGAGGCTGTTCTGAGGGGCAGCTCTCTGGTCTAATGGGAGCTCTCAGCTCTGCTGGAAGGGGGGTCAGTGCAGTCTGGATTAGTGCTGGATTTATTTCTGAATAAGATGGGGTCTGACAGTGCATAAATCAGCTGTAGGGTGATCTGACTGCCAGGATCACCACGAGAAAGCGAGAGGATTTTGTTTGTGTTCTTAAATGTATCTAAAATTTGATTTGCTATAGAGTAAATGAATCTCGGGGGATGGAAATAAAAAGTGAGGACAATCCCTCGCTTGAGTGTGAGTTTGGCAGCCCCTCAGGGCTGCAGGAGCCCTGTGGCCAGCTCCAACTAGGGGAAAGGCTGGGATAGCAGGGCACTGCCACTGGCAGGAACATCCCATGGCATGTGTCCCATGCCAGAATGCTGGTTTGGATCCAGGGTAAGTGATCCCCAGCCCACACTCACCACTGTTAGATGCCCGTTCTTGGCTTTGGCTATGAGCAGTTCTGATCCCGAGATGAAGTCGATGATCCCTTCTTTGCCTTGTCCCACTGTGAACTTTATGCTGTGAAGAGCAAAGGGTGAGAACAGCCCTGGTGAGCGTGTGGGACTCTCCAGGAGCTGGGTGTTAACAGAGCTGCAGCAGATGTGCTCTGGAGCCTTGGCTGAGGTGGACTGGGTACATTTGGATGGGGTGCAGGAAGAAGCGGAGCTGAGGCAGGGCCCTGGTGTCACTCACCTGCCCTGGTTGATGTTGACATTGTTGATTTTGTTGGCCAGAATGGCAGTTTTTGTCAGTGTCTCAATCACGTGGTCACTCTGCAGGACAACATCACCCTGGGAGGAGAGTCCATGCTTTAGGATCATGGCTTTGGTGTCACTGCACCAAAACCACCCTGCTGTAAGGGACAGGGGACAGGGACAGCACCAGAGGGGACGAACAAGCACTGCTGAACCCCATCAGAGAACACAGGGAAATAGCAGTGAAAGAGCTGGCACAAAGTCACATCCCTGTCACCTTGTCACCCCCTCCTCCCAGCTGGATGTGCTCCCTGGAGGAGGGAGGGATGAGCCCCCAGTACCTTCTGCTTGTTGTCCTCACAGTGCACGTGCAGCACAAACAAGTTGTCGCTCAGGCTGCTGACGGAGATGCCTGGGGAGAGAGAGCATCACTGGCACTGCCTGGACCAGGGAGGGCTCACAGCCTCTCCAGGAATGCAGCAACTGCTCCCACCCAGCACAGCTGAGGGGCTGCAGGGGGCTGAGGGAGAGGCTTCAGCCCCAGGCTGCAGGGCCCACACCGCAGCAGGGTCAGCAGCTTCCCCCTCCTGTCGGATGTTCCGAGGGCCAAAAGCTGCAGCAGTGGCTCAGGCAGCTGCTGTGCAGGAATGGTGCAACCCCCCCATGGCCAGACCCTGCAACTGGGAAATCACTCAGGGGGAGGGTTGAGGGAGATTAATTGAGTCATTTTGGTGACGTTTTATGGAGCTTCAGTTTAGAAAAGGACAATTTCAAGATACTAAAATGCTAGCCAGGATCAGCTCATCTCATTCTTGTCCAGGACAAACTGGAGTTTGTAGTGGTACATATTAAAGTGCAGCTGAGGAGCAGGGTCAGGGCAGTGCTCAGCCCCATCCCTGTGCCATTCCCACCTGTCAGGTTGGAGTAGTCGATGCGCTGCTTGATCTTGGACTCCTCCACCACGATGGCCGAGCTCTGGGTGAGCAGCAGCTGCCGTGCCCTCGCCTTGTAGCCCTTCCTGTCGTACTTGACCACGGGCACTGCATACTGAAACACGAGTGAGCAGGGCCAGATCCCACCTGGGGCACTGCCAGCCCCCAGCAGGCACCAACCAGGGCTTGGGAAACCAGAGTGCAGGAAATTCTCCCTGCCAGAACTTCCTCACTGCCCCAGAGCAGCAAGGACCCACCCTGGTGGCTGCCCTGCCTGGGGACTGGGAAACCCAGGTTTGGTGTCACTCTGGGGTTTCCCCCTTCCTCTCCAGCTGTAACCCATTCAGTTCTTAACTGCCATCATTAAACTGCCCAAATCTCCCCTTTCTAATCCATCAACTCTTCCCTGACTGTCCTCAAGAGTATTACAAGCTTACTACAATGTAAAATTTTTGCTGTATTTTCTCCAGAAATCTATTTGCCCTTCTGCTGAATAACTGGGAACTTGACAAAAGCTTGACATCTCTCACCTTAAGTGCTTCATTTTCTAATGCCTGAAGGACTTTAGTATTTATTTCTTCTCTACCTGTATTAAAACCAAAGAGGTGGGGGGTCAGAAAGGAATTTCCAGCAAGAAAAGAGTTCATTAATCCACCCCTTCCCTCCTCCTGTTAAACTTGGCAACCCCCACTCACCCAGTCGAGTGTTGATGAAGAGCCTGGGAACACTCTGAGGATAATTGTCTTTTTTACCCTTGAAAATCTCACTGGCAATTACTTTTTGTTCCAACTGCAAGGACAAAAGAAGTGTTCTTATTTAGTATAAAATTTCTCCTCATTAAAAAGATATGCCTGTGTTAGAAGAGATGTTCCCTTTGTGGTTTTATTAGAAGTCATAATTCAGTTCCTGTTTGGATGAGGAGTGACCCTAAACTTTTGGTCCCTGGAGGTGGCAGAGCTCCAGCCCCTGTCAGTGACCTGAGCCTTGGGCTCCTTTGCTCCAAGAACAAACCAGGAGCTGGGAAAATGGGAAAACCCCACTGCTGTACTGGGGGCCAAGGCTGTGACACAGGACAAGGCACCTGGGATGATTTACAAGGGAAAATGGGGATAAAGGAGGCTCCTTATCAGTGAGTCTGGTTTGCTGGGAGAAAGCAGCTGCTGAGCTGAGTTAATCCCATGTCCCTAATCACAGGCTCAGCCCCAGCCTCTCATTCCAGGTGTCCATGCACTGCAGAAGGTGAGAGATGGTGCAATAAAAACCTTCATGGCAGTTACAGCCAGCATCTCCTATTCTGTCTCTTTACTGAGCTTTTTTTTTAAATACAAAAACTCCCTCCCCCTACCTTTCCATGAGATGAATCAAATCTCAGTATCATTTTTATTCTTTTTTTTAGCTACAGCAGAGCAGCTGAAATGGTTCCTGTAACTTCTCTGTTTGGAAAATGACTGGGTTTGTGTCTGCAGGATTCTTACTCTCTACTTTACATGGTACAGGCAGAATAATGCAGCTTCTTATATTTTTAGCTTCCATGGGCAGAGTAGCAGGGCTTTTCAATAGAGAAATTATGTGGGGGCTTGGCTCCACAGCCTGTTTAAATAGTATCTATTGAAATATGTATAGAATGGGGTCTCTTCTGTGCACATTCCAGGCGTTTAGTGTTTTGTGTCTAACCTAAACCCAGATCAGTGGCACTGTTCCTGTGGCACCCCAGAAAGCAGCGATTCAGAGCCCCCCACTGCTGCCCCCTCCTCCATTCCCCTGAGTTCTGCCCTTGGCAAGCCCTGCAAAGGTGCCCTGTACCTGCTGCTTCCACTCGGGGCTGATCCTCTTGCAGTAGGTCCAGACCATGTTCTGCATGCAGAGCCTGCGCAGGAGCTGCGACGCCTGCAGGGAGCACGGGACAGGGGACAGCTCAGAGCTGGGACAAACCCACAGGGACAGACACCCAACAGCCCAGAGCCACTGACAGACCCACAGGGACAGACACCCAACAGCCCAGAGCCACTGACAGACCCACAGGGACAGACACCCAACAGCCCAGCACCACTGACAGACCCACAGGGACACATCCAAGAGCCCAGAACCAGGGGCAAACCCAACAGAGCAGCAGCAACTGCAGAAAATGCACTGCTGGCTTAAAAAACTGTTTCCTGACCAAGAATTAAATAATAAGTAGTTGATTTTTTTTTTTGCCTTTCTCTGTGAGGTTTTGCCCTGGACTTCTCCAGCTGCTTTAGAATGGGGAAAAAACACCAGGGTCCCTCCTCTCTGCACTGCTGTGCCTTTCCTTCCTTCCTTCCAGCTGTACCTTCAATCCAAACAATTCTTTGGCTAAGGTAACTGGGATTTCTGCAATATTTTGTTTTGAGCAGATAAACCAATTCAAGCAGATGCAGGATAGTAACAGCAACAGAGGGAACTGAATTTGTTAAGAGAAAATGGAAGGGAATTTCAGAAAGTGAAATGGAAGGAAATTTCAGAAATGGCTGAGAAGCCAGGAGGAAATGGTGTTGTAACAGCACCACACTCCAAGAAGCTGCAATCCTCTGGGCCTGGATTCCCCTCCCACATCCCAGGGCTCATTCCCACCTCACAGAGTGATGGGGGAGGAGTTGGCCACGATTTGTCCAAGACATTTTTTGGTAAGTTCCTCTTGAGGTTCATCAGGAAGGAGAATCGGATGTAATCCAGGAAATACTCGTTCTCTGGGCACCGCGGGTGGTTCCGGTAAATGAAGCCTTTAATGAACCTGTGGGAGTGGAAAATATTGTTTGAAAATTTTAAAAAGTCATCTAAATTAGCGGTATTTAAAGGTTCTATTTCCTGGGCTTTATTTAATAGTTGTAATTTACTTTAAAAAAAACTGTGTAGTGACAAGAAAGTTTCTTTTTAGCATCTTATTGTTAAGGAATGTGATGTTTGGGCTGCTCTTCACACACCTCCTGATTGTCTCCACTGCCCATTTCCTCTTGGCAGCTTTTCGGCGTCCCAGGGTTCCCCTCCACCAGGACTGGATGGTGATGGCTAAAAATAACAAAGATTTTGCATTAAGGGAGCTCCTTCATCCCCAAACTGACTCCACACAAAACTGGCACCAGAAATGCTCAGGAAAACCCACTCTGGAAATTACCAGCTTTCAGTGGGGCATGGGGGCAAGAATATGAGTTTTTAATAACAGGATACATGGGATAAATGTCAGTAAAAGAATGGGAATTGCTGTGGGAGCTGCTGGGGGAACATCTCTCCCTCCTTCTGTGTCTCTCATACCTGAGCGTTTCATGGTCAGGAATTTCTTCCGGCGGTAGAAACCTCTCCACGTCGCCTGCATTTTTGTGGCTGGAATTGCAAGAAAAGCAGCAATTTGCAACCACAACCAAGCACATTTTGGTAGAAAAAGACTCAGCTTTTTAAAATAGAAATCCACTGCAAGTGTGAGTGTCTCACCCAGACTCTGTTTCCTCACTTCCAGAGCATCTTCTGTGGCAAACAAGGTCTTGGGAAAGCGGATAAAAATCTTTGTTCTGGAAATAGAAATGCAGAATTACATTTTGCATGCTGGAGCAACTTGGTTTTGGCATCCCCTTTGGGCTCTGTAACGTTTCCCTCCCCCATTATCTAGAGAAGCTTCATTTCAAAGGGACAACAGGGACACGCAGTGATTCATAACCTCAAATTGAGAACACAGAACTGACCGTCCCATTTTGTATTCTTCTGGTTTGTAGCCAAGGTGCTTCACCAGCACAGCCACCCCATCATAGGGCCGCCCATCCCACGTGGGCCACGTCTCTGGACACAGGGATTTGTACCTGGGAATCGGCAGGAGAGGAAATCTTAGGGAGACAAGTGCAATCCAAGGAGCAGAGGGGTCAAGGGAAGGGAGAGAGCCCAAGCTTCCCACCCCTCTAGGTGGTAAAGCTGCCCCTGTGCTGTTTTACAGCTCCCAGCCTCAACAGCAGTGGGATGAAGCTCAGGGAGAGGGAGCAGCAGAGGAAAGAATTCCAAAGTAGCTTCACCTCTGCAGGAACACCTCGTATTTCCTGCGGTAGGCGAAGCCGGCTCGGCGCACGCGGAGGTTCTCCATCAGCCCCAGGTACTTCACCTGGTGTCGGATCAGGACTTCATCAAATCGGTCTTGGCAGGCATGGAAATGGACAAACACAATCAGTGCACAGCTGGGCCTTGCTCTAGAGAAGGGCAATGTTCAGCTCTGGTTGTATCTCACAGGATTATCTTTAACCTCCAATGAATCCTCACAGCACAAGTCCCACACAGTTTTGTGTCTCCTGCCATCCCCCCTCCCATCCCTTTTTAATTATTTATATTTAGCTCCAAAATGAAGTTTTCCTTTGGGATATTTTATGCAAAGAGGAACCAAAACTGAGGGAGAATAAAGTCATTAGAATTAATTTACACAGGTCAATAATTCTTTACTTTAACCATCACCTTCCTCTACCCGAGAGCAGTGCTCCCACTGCGATTTCTGGCTGCTGGCACTGCCACCCCCTCCCTACAGAAGCTCAGGCACAGCCTCAAAATGAACCCAAAATCTTCATTTGGCTCCTTTCTGTGTCTCCCTGGCTGGGATGCAGTGCTCTGCCTCTGTCCCAGGGCCATACCAGCCTGTTTGGCATCGTTGGGTTTCATGCAGCGAATGTAGGAGGGTTCTTTGGACATCAGGATTTCCATGAGTTTGGAGAGGCTGTTTTTGAACTGAGTTGCTGCCTAGGAGAAAAAAAAGAAAGCTGCAGCACATGAAGGGATGACTTGGAACTGGCTACAACCAGCAGAATACAATGTGAGGGGTTTGCATTTCAGATCATGTCAGACTTCATGTTCCAAAAAGAGGGAACGGCCACAGCCCCTTCCAGCTCTCGAGTTCTCACCGTTTCAGGTCTCTTTTTGTCTGTCAGCTCTGTCCTATCAAAGCACTGGTTTATGATGGGGTTCTCTGAGTTGCACATGGTCTGCAGAGAGAGACATTTTCAGAGATGAAGTACAGAGAGCTACCAGAGAAACCTGAGGACAAAACTATTTAAAATAACAAAATGGACACTAGGATCTCAATCAGTCTTTTCAGAGCGCAGCCCTGTGGACACAGAGCCTCCAGCTGGAGTCTAGAAGAATCCTTTCCCTCAGGTGCCACCTCATTTGAAACCCAACTCCTCCTGTCCTGGAAACTCCTCTCTCCACACTCACCTCCTTCAGGTTCCGGAAGAGAAGGTCGTTGTTTTTATCTAGAAAACCTGCAAGAAAAACAAATCACTCAGGATGTTCCACTGGGACTTCAAGGCAGGGATTTGAGATTTGAAATTAATCTGGTTGATCAAATGATGTGGGGATGTATTTAAGGCCCAGAGTTTGGTTTTTCTGTTACCTGCAACACTGTAGGTGACATCCCCAGCGTAGTGCGAGAGCCGGAACTCCTCCCGCCCCAGCGACTTGCGCGTCTTTTGGTCAGCGAGTTTGTGCCTGGGGAGGGAGCAAAAACCTTCAGGAGAAACAAAATCCTGCAGGATTCACTTCAAAAAGCACCAGGACATTCAGTCCTGGAGCAGGACTGTGCAAAGGTGAGCAAGGAGTGCAAATTGGACTTGGGGATTTTCAGGTAAATAAAGTTATTAATAACACAGAAGTGTTATTAAATGTATTTATGTTTAATTAAAAGGGGAGTTTCAGTGTTCCTTGCGGAGTGGTTCTGTGTGCATATAAGATGTAGACATCCTAAACTGAGCATTCAGAATAAAAGCAGAACATTCAGAATAAACAGACATTTGGAGCTCCAAAACTGAAGTAAACAATCTGCAAGGTGAGAGGTGAGTCAGTAACAAGAGTTTTGTTGCCCCTGTTGCATTCTGAAGCTCAGTCAGGCACTTTGTGTCAACAACCTATTTTACATTAGTTTAAATATCAATCAAATCTCTCTGTAAAAGAAAATTATCATCTTTTATGTGGGACCCAGCATGGTGAGGATGTTATTCACACACTGGGATCCCTCAGCTGAGGGAACACTCACGTGAGAAAATGAGGGTGGTTCTTCACAGTCTCCTCCAGTTTCTCCAAGAATGTTGTGTCTGTGGCATCCCCAGGTCTCAGACACTCCTCATCCTACAAACACACAAATTCCAGGGATTTCTAGGCTCTGCCTTACTGAAACTCTCCTCCAGTTTGGCCTTTCCACAGATAAACAACTTTTAGCTCAATAAATGAAGAATTCTTGAGCTGAAAAGGGAAATATTTCCCTCCTTCCAGACTGCCTGGATTGGGAGCTGCTTTCCCCAGAGCCCATGGAGGTGATGCAATGATTTTTAATGGTGTCACTATTCAGTGTATTATTGCTCTTCCCACCTACTCAAACACTTTCAACATAAACTGATTTTTTTCCCATGTTTTCCCCCTTGCTTTCCACTACACTGCTCAAATTTTTCATTCAAAAAGATGTTTTTAACTCACCAAAATAGAAATGATGCCTTTGAATTTCTCTTCCACCAAATCACAAATTATTTTGTTATTGAAATATTGAACTGGTTCCCACTGCAAAGAAAAGAAATCACACTTAGGTGAAAACAACTCTAGACTGGAAAAGAAATGTAAATTTCAGAACATTTCAGAGAGCACCTGATTTAAACAATCTTTCTGTCAAAGCTTTTTCACTCATCACATTTGTTTTCCTAACATTGCCTTTGTTAAAATCAGGGTAAAAGCCTGGGATGGCATTACTCACTTCCAGCTGTCTCACACAGTTACCAGGGTTTCCAAAAGAAGGGAAAAAGGCAAGTTCTTTAATTCCCTGATTTGGAGATGATGGCAGGACCTCTGGGAGGAGAGGGAAGGGGGCTCTGGGCTCTTACCGCGATGCCCTCGGACTCGTACTCCTCCTGCTCTGACTTCAGGGTCAGCTCTATGAAGAGCTGCTGCAACTTTTCATTGCAATAATTAATACAAAACTGCTCAAAGCTGCAAAGAAAAATCAGAAAAATAATCACTCTTTGTACAGAATTTATTTCCTGACTGCATGCATTTAGTAAATTTATTATTTAGGGAAACTCAAAGAGTTCCAGAAGGAGGGAAAAATGGACATGAAGGATGGAACATGGAGGAACACAAAAACCTTGAATAAAGGCACAGTAACAGTTCAAATGTAGAGTCTTTGTTCAGTGCTACCTGCCAGGGAGGTCCCAGACTCTGCCAGTCCCATCCCCTGGTTTGTCACCACCATGGGAAGATGCCACAACAGCCACCCCTGGGCTGGAGAGCTGGACCAAGGCACAGCTCAAGGTAAGGTATGAATACACCCAAAAAACAACAGTTTATTTTAAATACCAGGTCCATTAATAGCTGTAAATGCTAATTATTAGCTGGATGTCTCAAGTGTTAGAAGCCCTGTGATTAGCTTTTTGTCACCTGATGTCCTGACATTTAAATGCCACCTCTTTTACTAAGAAATTAAATAAAGCCTTGTTCCACAAGGGAGAGAAAACACCATAAACTGAACAATGTAACTCAGAATTTTTCAAAACAAACCTGTTGTGCTGGAAAACCTCAAACCCATAGATGTCCAGCAATCCTAGAACTGTTGTACTTCTCCAGCCTGGAAACTTCTCTTCCTGCAACAGAGCAGAAAACAAATGTAGGTATTTCCTCACAGCTATGATCCATCCTGGATCTCCATCATCTAATCCCAGCATTTACTGCACAATTTAGAAAACAAATTAATTTAGAAATTACTAAAAGCATGGAACTTGCTTTGAGGCTGAAAGATCTGGAATGCTGTCACCTTTGGCTGGATCTCTATAGCAAAGCAGGGCAACCCCAACAAAGGGGAGAAAATGATGAGGAGGACTCCATCTTATCAGAAGGCTAATTAATTATTTTATTATACTATATTATTTATTATATTACACTACATCTAAACTGAATCTGTCTGCACAAGCACCCAATTGCACTGAACTTCCCAGAATCTCGTGACTGTCAGCTGACAGTCCTGACACACACACATTCAATTTGGATTCAATTGGTCAGTGAATCAAAACACACCAGAACCCAATTACCAATTCCCTTCAGGTAAACAATCTTCCACAATGCATTCCCCTTCTGCACAAGAGGAGCAGCAACTGAGATAAGAATTGATTTTTCTTTCTCTGAGGTTCAGAGAATGTGAATCCTAGAAAATATCCTTGGGAAGTTGTGCCTTGCTTTGCTCTGTGAAGAGAAATGCAGCCACAGATCTCAACAAGCAGAAGGGTCACTTGCCTTGTAAGCCAGGGATTTGTTGACCTTGTTGACCAGCCAGGAGAAGGTGCGGCCGTAGACGGCCTTGGCGAGCGCGTCCCTGGCGTAGGCTGCCTGCTCCAGGTTCAGGGGACTCACCAGCTGCAGGCAGGAGCAGAGAAAACCCCTCAGCAGCCCCCAGACCAAGGGATCCCCTTTTCCTGCCTCGTCATCACTGAACAGCCACTCAAAAGCATCCTGCTCGTGGCTGAACCGTCACCAGTGGGAGCCCTGCAACCTCCTGAGGGGTGACGAGGGAGCTGCTGGCAGAGCTGATTCATGGAATCCCCTTTGCCTCCCAAATCCCCAGGGCCTGTTCTTACCTCCTCCCCTTTTGCTATGATCTTCTTGTGGATCAGTGCATCCCGAAGAACTGAGCCATCCACTGCCAGCAGCTGCACACAGGACATTCAATTAATTTATGGAGCTGTACATTCCATGTTCCTAAAATCCCGGCCCAGTGAAACAACCCTTTATTTTATTTCCCACTCACACTGAACAATTCTGCAGCATCAATCCCTCCCTTCCCTTCTTTCTGGCAGGGATATGAGCTAACAAATAATTGGCTGGAAGGAAGTGACCAAGCAAAGGCACTAAGGTGGTTCTTTCTTTAAAACTCTTCCCCAGAGTCTGTTCCTACCTCACTGCCCAAAGGTGGAAACCTCAAGGCAGGGGTGGGTCAGGTGGTAAATAGAGAAGTTGTCAATTAAACGGGTTTGATGATAATATTTGCATTCTATTTAGGTGAAATTACAGTTAAATTTATGAGAACAACTAAATCACAGTCTAAAACTCTATGATGATATTAAGCTCAAAGTAAGGAACCCTCTACAATTCGCCTTTCCTGTAACATCTCCCTCACTGGTGATACTCACCCTGGCCAGGTATTTAATCTGATTCTCTGTAGTGACCTGAGCATTGCCCTGCTCATCAGCAGCAAACTGGACATTCCCCAGGTGCAGGACACTGGCCACAATGCTCAGCAAATCCTGCCATGGGAGCAACAGGCAGAGATCAGGATGATGGAATGAACACACAGCAAGGTTTTTGTGTTAATTCACTTTTTAGGAGACTATTTTGTATATTTTTTCAGGATTTTTGTAGGGAATACATTCACTCTGATTTGATCCACTGATTTTAATCAGAAAACCTAAATAAAAGCAGTAAAAAATCTTAAAAAAAAGTAGGAAAATCTGTGCTGCTAAACCTCACCTCCACCTCACTGTCATTGAAGCCGATAACAGACAGGGCTCTCCTCATGATCTTCCACTCATTTTTGTCATTTATGGAACTGACCCTTGCACAGTGACCCTAAAAAGACACAGCTTGACATAAATAAATAAATAATCATCAAAGATACATTATCCATGCTCAATGCATTGTGTTTCTTTTTACAGCAGTTACTTCAGAGTTAATTCTGAAGTGAGGGAAGGAAATTACAAAGTTAATTGGAGATATCCCAACCCTATAATACAATATTTGAGAATTATAGTTAATGTTCACCTTTACTAAATAGTGATACTGCTGTGGGTTCTTCTCAAGGCCCAGCCTCCTCAGCAGGTCCTCCTCCCCTCCCTCCAGCAGCTGGTAGAAGATGTGGAAGTTCCTCTCGCCGTGGTTCTGGTGCACAACTCGGGATTTCTCCAGGAGGTAGTTCAAGATGTGGCCCCCAACAGGAGCCCCCTAAAAAAAACCAGACACGTGAAAAGAGTCCATCAACACAGAGGAAAATGTTTCTGCTTCTTCATTGTCAGTTCAAAGACAAGATCTGAAGCAAAAGCCCACAAAAACACAGAAAATGATCTGTCATCCCGTGCCACAAGCTCTATTTCAGTACAGTGGTGATTTGAGTGCTAAAATTCCTTCTAGGAATTCACCACAAAGGGAAAGCACCAAAACTGAGTGTGGAGGGATTAAAGGAGACCTGAAGGATGGCAGTGCTGAGCTCCTCAGCCCCTGCACTGTGTGCACCTTGCTGCTGTGAGGCAGCTGGGATCAGAGTGGGCACAAACCGTGCAAAGTCACACAGGGCAGGAATTATCTTCAGATCTCTCAGCTGGGTTATGTGGATTTACCTGGGGAGTACCCACTGGCACAGAGCACCAGAAATAAAATACCCTAGAAATAAAAGGGTTTGATCTCATTGTCCCATTACAGAGAGAAATAAGGGAGGAATGAAGGAAGAGTGAGTGCCATAAAACCCTCTGGACCCAAACTTTGTACCACAGGCTCTGCCTATGCCATCACCAAGGAAATGCAAAGCACTCACTACACACACACAACAATGCAAGAACACAGAGAGCTATAACTGGGACCAGTCCTGGAATATAAACCAGACTGCAAGTTACCCTGTAATCAAACTGCACATCCATGTACTTCCCAAACCGACTGGAGTTGTCATTCCGAAGGGTTTTCGCATTTCCAAAGGCCTGAAATGAAAACGATCAGAGAAAATTAAATTAGTACCAAGTCATATTATTTATAAACACTTGGGTGAAGCTGCCAGTTATTTATTTACAGCCCAGGATTTTCCTTCCTGGAAACCCAGAAGGAAACAGATTTCTCCCTGAATTCTAAGGCTGATCTTTACACCCTGTGCAAGCAGTGCAGATGGAATATCCTCTGAAAACACTTCCATGCCCCTGCAAGCTGATTTTAATGCCAGTCCACTGCTGACAACATATGTCATGTCTGACAGCCTTGCCCAAGCTCCTCTGTCCCCACTGCCATTTGTCACAGCTTGCTGCCAGAGGGGCTGCAGGGCTTCCTGCTGCTGGGAGTCACCTTTCCCGGGACACAGGGACATCTCAGGGCACAGGGACACAGGGATGTCTCAGGGCACAGGGACAGAAGGAAACAGGGATATAGGGCACAGGGACACAGGGCATACAGGGCACAGGGATTCAGGGACACAAGGCACAGGGATTCAGGGATGCAGGGACACAAGGATATCTCAGGGCACTGCACACAGCCAGGGCTGGACACTAGAGGACACCACAGCACCACAAAACGAGCCCAGCCTGTGTGAGCTGCCCACTGGGATGTGCCCCTTTGCAGAGTCCTGCAGTGACCCCGAGCTCTTCCTACGCCAAATCCCCTCTTGTCCCCGAACCCCATCCACACCTCAACTGCTCCTGGAGGGCTGGGAAGGGCCAGGAGTGCTTTGGCCGGGAACCAGAGCGGGATTCCCTGGTGCTGTGCCCGCACAGCGTCCCCAGGACAGGCTGTCACCGCCCCGTGGGGTCCCGCTGTCCCCAGCGCCCCCGCCGGGACTCGGGAGCGTCCCCAGGGCCAGCATTCCGGGCGGGAGGTACCTCCAGGACGGGGTTGGACTGCAGCAGCCGGTCCTTGACGGTCTCGACCTGCTGGCTGGCGGGGCAGGTGACAGCGTAGTACTGCAGGATCTTCTTGGTGGCCTCGGTTTTGCCGGCGCCGCTCTCGCCGGAGATGAGGATGCACTGGTCCTTCCTCTCGGTGCGCAGCGAGCGGTACGAGTTGTCTGCGATGGCGTAGCTGGGAGGGGACAGCCGGGATCAGCGGGTCTGCCCTCAAATCCCGGCACAGACGTCCCCCAAAACAGCCCCAGGCCACGGCTGGGTGAGATCGCAGCTGCTGCACGCTGGTGACAGCACAGGTGACAGCGCTGACACCTCTGGTCACACCTCAGCCACCCAGCCACGCTTCTGCAGGCTCATGACACAAACTGTCAGAGCCTTTGAGACTGTTTTTGACTTTTCTTTCTGACAAAAAATAGGTAGAAGTCGACTAAATTGTGCAGAACAACTGGCTTTTCTAAATATAAATGATCTCTCAACACTGGTCCCGTGGGACAGAAGTTTTACACTCAGGAAACACCTCGTTCTCCACTGGTATTTTTTCTTGCTTATGTTCTAAGTGATGACACATTCATAAGGTCACTACAGAATTTTGCTGTCTGGGTGGCTCCAGAGCTTCTCTTGCATGGTGGGAAGAGCTTGGAAAAGCCACCACAGATTAAGGAGCATCCTGCCCCAATCTCCAGGCACTTCCTCTGCCTGCACAGTCTGGCCCTGCCCTTCTGCTTCCTCCTTTGCTGCTTTTTCTTTCATTTCAGTGCTGTGAGCAGACAGGATCTCACACCCAGTCACACACTCCCACAACACCAGAGAGCAGCAGGGGATGAGTGACAATGGTGACAGCTGCTCAGGGGGACAGAAAAGACAACCTCCCTAACACCATTTTCACCTCTCACATGTGGTAAGCAAACAGATATCCTGTCTTCTTCACACACCTGACAACATTTTATTTTAATAGCTTGGCTTTTTAATTTTTCATTTTTCCCTTTTTTTTTTTTTACTCTCCTGCTGTGCTATTAATTAGCAGTAATCACACCAAAATAACAGCCATGGCCTTCTCCAGTCTATTAATACTTGGTGCTAAGGCAACACCAGTGAGCTCCCTTGGCAACACAACTCACCCCACAAAATACATCATGTCCCTCTCTTCCCATCCAGGTTCTGCCTCTGGAGTCTTTTGGAAAACAGCTGAATAAATGCAGATTTAATTTGGATTTGAAGAAGTGCCTCTGGCCCCTGGGCCTTTATGGGGTGGTTTATGGCCCCAAGAGCTCCAGCCAGGCACAGACAGAGCCACTGGAAATAAAGATGTTTATGGTCCCGTTTGCAGGCCACAAACAGGACAGGATGTGACAGATCTCTGGGAATATGCTGGGTTCCAAGCCCATAGGGATAGCTCTCCTCCTCTGAGTGTGATGCACTTCCCAGAAAACCCAGCTGAACTGTCTGACACTGGAAGAGAGACCTTGTAGTGTTTTGGCTTTCTAGAGTCAGTTTAGAAGAGGAGAAAGAGGAAAAAATATGAGTTACTGGAAAAGGAGAAACCCAGAGCACCAGACTGCAGATGGAGCATTTTGATGCTCCTCAGAGGATTTTTAAATGCATATATAATGAAATAATGCAATAAAATAATTAAATAATGCAATGGAACAGCAAAAACAGTCAGCAAAAAAAAAATCTGTTCTCCCAGTGGGAGCAGCAGTACCCAGGATCACAGTTCTCCAGGGTATGAGCTGCACATTTTACAGCTTCTGAAGGGACTTGTTAAAAGGAAAGAAAGCCTAAGAAATAATCAGCCACAGTGTGATTTAAGTGGAATTAAAGCACATCTGCTCAGTGCTTTGTGCTATCCATGAGCATTGTCATCATCCTGTACTACTGCACACTAAAAACCAGAGCCACAGCCCCAAGGATTTTCCAGAGTCCCAAAATTCACATGTAAGGGCACAGAAGCCCTTTCCTGACCACAGGCAAAGGGAACAGAGCAGGTTTGAATGCAGGGTTTTTCAGGTTTAATTCTCCCCCATCTGGGTTCACACAGTAAAAATCATATTTTTGTCCTAACAAATCCAGCTTGAAGTGCTGAGACTTTCCCAAGTAATGGTGTTTCTCCCCCTCTCTGTGCTTGCAGCACATTCTGGTTTGTTTACTCTCCTGGGCTATGTGCCAGCAATAAGAAACAACCCAAATAGTTTGCTCAAAAATAATATCATTTACTCTTCCAAGATCTCTTAAAAAAAAAACCCAACCAAACACAAGATAAAAAAATCTTCCAAGAGGTGCTCAGAATTTGGCCTTTAGTCCTGAAGAAAAACCATTTTGAAGCCATGTGGCCTCAGCTCTCAGTCATCTTTTTCTTTCAGTCTGACAAAAAAATTCAAACGCTCTCAAAAATAACTTTAAACCTCAAACTTTTTTTTTTTTTAAATGGGAAATTGGGAATGCTCACCAAGCCAGACCATGTAAATAAATACATTCCTTGTTCCAACAGGCTGATGGTATCTTAGCAACAAGGGAAATACCAGATAAATATTGGTCAGGCAGTAACAGCAGAGGTAGGAAAGAAACCCCCACACAGCAGAAACTCTTTCCCCTACTTAGCCCCGGACACAGAGACCCCAAATAACCCTGGAACAATGAACTCCTGTCCTGCCAGGGCTGGGTAAGCAGCTCTGTTCCTGCAGCCAGGAAGGAACCAACTCCCTTTCCAAATACTGCTCTTGCAGAGGCAACTCATCCTCTTTGGAGAGAGGAACAGGAATAGAAAGAGCCTCACACCACACCCTGAGGATCCTCTCTGTCCCCAGGACTTCCAGGGCTGCAGCTGGGACAGGGCAAAGTCCTGTTTGCCTCTTTTGACGTGTCCCAGCTGGGTGGGAGTGACAAAACCTGCACTGGCACCCACTCACAGGTGAGGAGAGACTTCATAGAAGCTGACGCCGCGGTACCGCTCCATGTTCTGCTTGGTGTAGATTTCCAGTTCCTTGTAGGGATTCACAGACACCAGCACTGAGCCAATGTAGGTCTGGAAAATAGAACAGAAAGCAGGGAGCTTACAGGAGGTCTGGAGGCAGAGCTCAGGTGTCTCTGGAGGCTGGACACGCTGAGGATGCTGCTGAGGGCGCTGCTGAGGGCTTCCAAACAGGCCAAGGGTGCTGAGGAAGAGAATTCTCAGCTCTGGAAAAGTGACACTGCTGGAGCTGTGCCAGCCATGTTATCCTTGCTGAGTAAAAAGCACCTCAAATGGTTTTACAGTTTCCAACAAGGCACAGTACTGAGTTATTTCTGAAATACATTTAGGATTGAGTTCAAGTCTGGGTTGGTGGAAGCGAGTGAATTCAGGAGATGGAAGAATGTGGTGGGAGTTGGATTTTCAGTGCTGTCAATGCCACCAGATCTCAGCAGGGGCACTGCAGTGAGTCCCCACACCCATCAAATGGCAGCACCCCAGAGTGGTCCTGGCACAAGCCCCCATGGCCTGTGTGAGTGCCACAGCAGCACCTCCAAACCCCACTGCAGAGCAGAGCCACACTCCAGCTCACTGAGGGACACCCTGGGCACTGTCCCTGTGCTACTCACATAGATCAGGTTCTCCTTGAAGCGTTTCCTCAGGTTCTCAATGAATGCAGCTTCGCTGGTGAAGTTCTCCAGCAGGACAAAGTCCTGCACCCCGACGCGGTCGCGGGCGGTCAGCGCGCTCTCCATGCTCAGCCGGATGCCGTTGGCTCCCAATCCCTGCAGCCAAAAGCACGGGAAAGTTGGGATGGCTGTGGGTTTGCAGGCACTTCCCCAAGTCCACAAGAACCACATTTACCATTGGATAACCATATTAAAATGAGATATTAAAATAATCCCACTGTTGCTGCTGAAAGCAGTGATTACAACGCTTCATCAGTTGTCTGCTCTAATTGCTTTCAGGGAAGACAAGTCAGCATTAGGGAAAAATTACTGCTTAATTTCCAATAACTTCAAATCAATCAAAGAAACAAACATTTGATAAAGAGAATAAAACTTGGATTTCCTTTCCCAGGCATCCTTTAGCAGGAGGGAGATTGAAATGTGTTCTCTCCTGTCTCTGATTTCACAACGGGAAGCTGTTTCGAGGTAAGGAATCTTTTATGACTAATGATGATTCATCTCAGAAGCAAACAGCTTCACATTGCTGACCAATTTAACAGCTTTAGCAAGGCACCCAATGGGAAAATTCTGAGAAAATCAAGAAGAAATGAGAAATGGGCATTTCTGCACCCACACTGCTGAATTTAGACGGTGACACCGACAGCATCAAGAGACTCCTACCCCGACCCTCCTTTAAAGGTTACATTTCCAGCCTGATGTGGGTGAGACACAACTTCTGTGGAAAGCACTCATCTGCTGACTCCTGACTTCACTGTGAAGCAGGGAGGGGAAATCTGCACCCAGGGGTGACTCAGTGGCTGCTGCTGGGGAAATCTCTACTCAGGGGACAGAGATGGAGGAGATGAGAGGCACCGCAGAAACCAGAGACAGGAGAAACCACGTGTGAAACCCTCTGCCTCACATCTGCATGCATTTCTTTATCTTCTTCAACCCTTCTTGCTTTGCAAACTGCTCACAGCAGCACCTTTCTCCTAAACCATTTCCCTAAAGCACTGAGTGATATTTTGGGATGTTGCACAAAGACCAGAGGGTCTGTTCCTAAAGCAGGCTCATGCACCAACAGCAATCCCAGACACCCATCACAAACTGGGAATGCCAGACCTGCACAATGATGAAGATGACTTTTACTGACTCACAGAATTGCTTTCTGCACCTTCCCAAGATGTAAAAGTGGTCTAACCACAAGCACTGGTGACGTGCAGGGAATAAAATAAACCCAGCCTTGGTCAGGAAGAAAATTTACCTGAAGTTTTTTTAAACAGTAATAAAAGCAAGAATCACTGAAATATCAATTTGGGTCAAACCCAAATCCCCTCAGCCTGCAGTTGCTTTGATTCACCAAATTCTTGGTAAATGTTTCTTTATTTGATTTGGTAAATGATTAGTAAATGCAGTTTTGCTATTTCTGCCAGTTCTAATTGGCTTCCTCCCTGTAAGCCTGGTCAGAAGTGATTGCCTGAACACAGCAGTTTTCAGATAGGAAAATCAGTTCCTTCTGGAAATCTCAAACCCAGACCCACACAAAGAAACATCATTTGATTTCCTGTTTTATATTTCCAATTAGTCTCATGGTCTGGAAGGCCTGAGTTCTAAGCTTGGAAAGACCCAGCCTGGGAGGAATTCTGCAGATACTCTCATGAAGTAATCGTTCTAAAATGGCCAAAATTTTCCAAGCCAAGTCCTTCACAGCTTCAGCAAAATGCTCTGTTGTCTTCTACCCTCTTTGCCAAGGTGAGGAGAAAAGGGATAACCCTTGGAGAAGGAAGGTGATGAGATAAGGAAAGGAAAATAGAGATAAATCATATACAGATAAACTCTGCCTAGAAATTGGAATCCTTCTATCAGAGCAGTGCAATCCCAGAGCAGGTTCTGGCCAACGTGATGAGAACAAAGGCAAAACCAAAGGAAAATAACTCCTTTTCAAGTGGGGAAAATGTACAACTGCAGTCCTAAAACACAGCTGCCTCAACAAGGACTGAGGAGAAACTTCCACCCTCGCACAGTTAATCCCAGTTTATATAATCCTGAAGCCTTTCGCAGCAAACGTCACTTCAGCAGCTCTTTCATCAGCCCCTCCCTGAGGCCAGGACAAAGTGATCCCAGCTGTGCACATCCAGGAGAGGCAAGAGCCAATCCATCCCCCTCACAACACAGAAAATTCCACTCCTCTGGGACAGGCATTTAAGGCCAAGAACTTTCGGTTTCCTCCAGTTTTTGTCTCCTCATTCAACTCCAACCCCTCGCCGTGAGAACAAAATAACCACCTCAAATCTGCAGTCAGCCTGAAACAAAACAAAAGCCAAACCAACTCGACTGAAAGTGGCTTTTTGGTGATAATTAAATGTGCCCAGGGGATGTGATGCAGTCAGAGCCTCCTGAATATAAACTCCACTCAGTCTTGTAGCCTCCCAAACCCAAGTTGAGTGCAAATAAAAGGCAGAGCTGAGCAATAGGCACTGCTCCATGCCAGCATTTTGCTTTATTGCATATGTCCAAGTCTACCACCAGCTTCAAATATCTGTGTTAACTGTTTCACTGCCACTGACATCAACTGATGGGCCATAAAAGGAGGTGAAAATAAACCCTTTTTGCAAAATGGAAACAGATCAGTCATGCAGAAGGAAGGAAGTGGGGAAGGAAGACACTACTTAAGAAAAAAATAATCACAGTGATGATCATATGTTCCTACTGAATGATAAATGTGAGGCACTCAATAAATTAAAATAACCAAAATGTTGGTGATTTTCTGTTAGCAGGCAGACATCAGATCTGGTGGCTGTAAATTAATGCTAGAAAACCCCCAGTGTGGGGGGTTAAATGTGGTGCAGGGGAGCTAATTAACCATTAAAGCAGGTTGTCTATGGACAACACTCATTCCCTTGTTGTCTTTGCAGGGGATGAATTTCTTTGTGCCAAACCACCTCTAACTGAAATACATTTAAAACATCCTCTGCTCCAGGTAAGAGATCAGCTTGGACCACTCTGACAGCCCTGTGGCAGGGAGTATATTCCAGATAACTGGGAGAACACAGGCTGTGAGGGTGTGTCCAGACCCTTCCTTTTGGAAATGAGTTTTTCTGGAAGCTGCCAGGAGAGCTCAGTGCTAGAGGAGCTGCTGTGACCCTGAGGGAGGACTCAGTGCAGCTGCACCCTTTGGTTTGCACTGGCCCAGGACTTGTGCAATAAACCAGGCTGGAAATCTGACAGGGATTAAAACTAACTCAGATTCTTTTGTTGTTTTAATCCAGGTCATTTTCCCACACTGGTCCCACGTGTAACGATGATGGCCAGGGACAGGGTAATGGGGAACCACAGCAGGGCCAGGGAGGAGCCAGGATTCAGCAGCAGGGCCAGTTCCTGCTGCCTTGAAATGCTTGGGAAGCTTCCACCTAAGAGGCAGGTCAGGTTTAGCCTAAAAAGCTAAAAAAGCTCAGCATCAAATCCCTCCTCCAGGCTTTGCTGCCTCCTCCAGGCTTTGCTACCTCCCTTTGGGTAACACCTCCAAACCAAACCAGGGCAACTCCATCAGCAAAACAAAGAGCAAGAAAAAAACAATCTGGTGATTTTCTCTGCAGGTTTTGAGCTAAATCACCTCGCTGTGGGATTGGGAGAGTGTCAGAAAGGAAAGGAGGGAAGGTAGCACATTGAATCAGTTATTTAGGGCAGCTCCACCACATCCACCTTATAGGTCCCCTATGGGATCAAAAGGAGGGCCTGGCTGAGGATCCTGAACTTTGTAGGATGGGGACACCTAACGCCACACCCAGCACAGGCTGCAGACAGGGAATGGCAAAAATCTGAGCAATCTGCATGTGATCGTGGTGCCTGTGGGCTCAGGAGTGCCTGTGCCTCCTCTCAATCTCTCCTTTCATCCTGTGCTGAACCCGCTGTCCTGAGGGTCACTCCAGAGTGCCCAGTCTGATTTCTGCCACCACATTTCCCAAAGCCACCCCACGGTGCCATTTCCAGGGATTTGTTCCCACATTGTTTTAACCCACTCTTTGCTTTTAATGTCTTCTCCAGAGCCTGGAGCACAACAGTGGCTCAGGGCCAGGAAGGGAAAAGTCCCCCTGGAATGGTGGGGACCAGGCCAGTGCAATCACCACCACAGTTCTGCTTCCAGGGCTTTTTCTGCCCTGCGATTGAATTTTGGGAAAGACTTTCCGCTGGTGTAAATTGGTTGCTGAATGCAGCCTGCAGAGCCAGGTTTACATTGGCTGGGGTTCCAGCTTTTCTTTGTGTTCCTACAAGAGTCAACAAGACCAGCAAATACCTCCAAGCTCCTGGGAGCACAAAACCACTCACAACTGTACCAAGGAGTTTCCTACACTGAACTGGGAAATCGCTGACATGGGATTGTGAAGGTGTAAACACATATTTTTCCTTTAAACTCTGCTTAATGCCAAAGCATGATAAAGTTTTTCCTCTGCTTAGGACATGGAGAACTAATACACCTCAGAAATGAAAAACAGGACCTTTTGCTCTGTGCAGCAAAATCCAAAGGATTTGAGTCAGCCAGGCTGAGCACTTTGGGGGAATTTGTGCTGGAAAATGGGAGAGCAGCTCTGCCATGAGCACAGGGGTCTGGGGCTGATGTGAGCAGAGCAAGAAACTCCCCCTGGCTTTGTCCAGAAGCTGCTCCATGGCCATGGAATACCCAACATGGAGCAAAGACTCATTCCCAGGCTTGATTTTCCCAGAGGGGTACTGGAAGGGTTTAAAACTCAAATCCAGACATTGAGGGAACAGGCAGCACCAGCAACTTCCCACTCCTTTCCATGAGAAAACACCTGGAATTCTCAAAGTGAACAGTCTTGTATGGAGCAGGGAAACTGCATAACTGATTCAGAAAGGAAAGTCACAACATAAACAGAATTTGTGTTTCAACACCTAAAAATGTATCTTGCAATATTTTCTCCTGGCAGTGTATTTTCACAGATTGGGTTGTATCCACTCAGGAGACTCACTGGAAGAGCCCCAGGAAGTGGCTCCATCTGGGAAGAGGCAGGCACCTTTATCTTGGTATCAAGTGCAAGATGATTGATCTGCAGGCTCCAGAAATAGCCACAAAGCCGGGAACGGAAGAACAGGCCAGACCCAAATGTGAGTGGGAAGGGAAATTCAGATTAGATTCTGGAAGACAATGCAAGCCTGAACCAAGAAGGAACTTCTCGTGGGGAGGTGGCAGCTAAAAAATATTTGTCTCACGGATAGTTGGACATTCTTAACTGTCATGCCAAAGCTGCAGGAAAGAAAAGAAATTCCTTTGATTTCTACTTCATTCTGCAGTCTGGGAAAGGGTTTCTTGGACACGTGGGCCAGACAGCAGAGCAGACAAAAATCAACTGTTGTATCCAAGGCCTCAATTCCCAAGGTGCAGAATGGGAAAGCTCCTCTTTCCCTCTGCATGGAGAAAGAAATAATGAAGATGGCAGAGGTGGACCAGAATCAGGGATTCTGTCAGCAAATCCCTGACAGACTGAAGTTCAGGCACTCAGGATCCTCCTCCCTCCTGCCACACTGAAAATCAGCTGCTCATTTTGGACACAACTCCCTCTGTCAGTCAACAGCTGGGTTGGAAAGAAGGTTCCCTGAGAGGCAGCTCTGTGTCTCCCATAAAAATCCCCTGCAAGCAACCACGTGGGTTTGTCTGCCCTTTCTGAAGCCACCTGAGCTGAGATAGTAATTGATAAGATATGTATTTGCTTTTAATTATGTAAGGAAAATGAAGTGATTTCCCAAAAGACAACTTGGGAAAAGCAGAGCTGTCAGGTGGATTGGGACCAAAACCAGGTAACAGCTCTGGTGACCCAGACCAGCAGAGTCAGAGGGAACAACTTGAATTTGCAACTTGAATTTGCAGCTGCCACTCAAGGACCATTTCTTAGAATAACTTTTTATTCTTGCTTCTTTTAGACTAATACATCACCAGCAATGGAATGTCTGGAGTCAGGGAACTCAGAACTTGGTTGTCCCTCTGATAGTTCCCATCCTAACCAGATGGAAGGATGGAACTCCAGAATACACTATTTAAAAAAAATTATATTAAAGAGATAGAAATGCTACATCCTTGACTAATTCTTGTAAAGTAATTATTTCAAACGTTTCCACATTTTGGGTAGGGACAAATTGAAATAATAAGTAGGTAATATTATTTGTTCAATATTTATAACATAATTGTACCTTCCAGATTTTACTTTGTGGGGGGATGAGTAAGGAAATAAGCAATTAGCAGTGAAAAGGAAAAGGCAGTTGTAAGGACTGATTTGAAGGACAGGAAAAATGTTTACCATTAAGAGGGGTAATGATATTTCAATCAACAGGCTAAATATAAAAGAGCACTAAGAAAAATGAACTAGGCAAACCAGAAAGATCACCAGGGCTGGAAAAGTAAATACACAGAATTTCTATATTTAGAGAGCTGACATTTTTTGCTCCTGAACAGATGGCACAAGCTGCTGCTGGTTCAAAGATGTTGCTGGTGGCAGTTTTCTCAGGAGACCTGTGCCCACAGGCCTGGGCATCCCACAGCAGCTTCAGAGGACAAACAGATTTCAAAAAGGCATTTAAAAAAGGCGAAACATCAGCTTGCTGCCCCTTCAAGTGAGGTTTGATGCTGATTTCCAGAGCAGCTGAGCAGGTGAAGGGTGGCAGAAGCTCAAACGTGAAGAGCCAGGGCCAGCCTGTGTCCCCTGCAGCTTTGGGGCACCCCCTGTGCCCCATCCCTGCTGCACTGCCCTGGCACTGCCCACCCTTCCCCTGCATTCCACACCCCCACAGAACCCTCGGACACCACGAGGTCTCTGAGACACTCAAACTTTCCAAAGAGAACTCCAGAGCATTCCGGGGCCACGCGAAGGGCGCCTCCACACCCACAGCTCCCTCAGAGAACAGGGCCACCACCCCAGACACACCTCTGCCTGTCACACTGCCACTGCCACCTCTGCCAGCCTTCCTCCAGGCCCACAGCTGGGCAGGGGGTGGCCCCAGCACACCAGATGCCAGCAGAAATACCCTGTGGAGCTCTGTCACCTGCACTCCCACAGAGAAGGACTCAGGAGTGTCTCCAAAAGCTCTGCCCTTCCCTTCATCACTTTCTCAGTGGTCAGCAGCAGAATATTTGGGAAAACAGGCAAGGATCTCTGGGCTGAGCAGGTATGGGATACACCAGCCCCATGGTAACTCTTCTTTAACAGAGAATTGCTCCAAGCTACAGAAGTGACGTTTTCAACCCTTCTCTTCCTAAATTTGGTCACTTTACCAATTAAAGCCTTGAGCATTCTTATCCAGGCAAAAGCTCACACACTTTTTTATAACACTCCCTCATTCTTGACCTCAACGCCTTCCACAGTCAGTGAATTCCATGGCCCAATTATTCATTGTATGAAAATAATCTTTGCATCTCTTTGACAACTTTTAGCTTAAGTCAGTGTCTCTCTTTCCATGCTACACAACACAGAAAAAGGAGCTCTGTGTTCTCTATGGCACTGTTATTTATTTCTCCTTCTCTTGTCCTCATCTCTTTTTCCAGGTAACAATCCCAGTCCTCTCAATCTTTTGCCACAAACTCCTTTTCCCAAGCCTGGGACTGCCCCATGCAGGACACAGGACCAGGTGTTCTGGCTGCTGCTAAAGCATGGACAAAGTTTTCCTAAACCAAAACAGCCTGGAGGAACTGAGGGGCAATAAATCCTTTAGCAGGTACTTCCTGCCATGGCCTAGGATGGCAGGAATGGGACAGAAGCCCTGGGACGGACAGGAGCAAAGCCCAGCTCCAGGACAGTCCCTTCACATCCTTGTGTCCAAGTGAAAGCTCCACCCTTTCTTCCCTCCCAAAGCTGAGCACAGCTTCCCCCTCTCTTCCCACTTTCTCAACTCCCACCTTGGCTTCCTCCTCCAAACAGGTATTCCTTGAGTTTTTAGCCAATTTCACCCCAACTTTCCAATGAAGGGATCCTTCTCAAAGCATTTCACTTTCTTGCTGAAACCCTGAAAATGTTTCTCCTCTCTTTTTTTTGAGACCAAATACACGTCTGAGAGCTGCAAAGCCCCTAAAGGAGTGAAATAAACCTTAAATAAACCTTACCCCGCCTCGGAACTTCATCTCTGCCTCCCGCCAGCTCCCGCAGCCCTCGCAGAGCCTTCGCTTACGCCGCTGCAAAAAGCAGCAATCTCAGGACAAGTTCTCTCTTCTGTCAGTTGCCTTATTTTTTTAATTTTTTTTTTTCATGGCATTTTCAGTGCAGTCAGAACTCCCTCCCTCCCACCAGCTCCTACTGGAGCATCTGGAGAGGGCGTTTTCCAAGGAGAACTCCCCTCCCAGCAGGAGCAGCCCAGCAGAGGCAGTCCCAGGGAAATCAGCTGCGCTCTGCCTGTGGAGTTCCCGCTGCCCAATGACAGGGAAAAACGGAAAGAAAAGTAATCCCAGGCACTGGAAAAGCTGGGGCTGAGCCCAGCACACAAACCACAGCCATCAGACAGGAAGAGACGAGCTCTGGGACAGTGGGTTATTGTCCTGGAACAGCAGCGTGGACAGGGCTCCCCACAGCTGCTCCCAGCTCACCCCAAACACAGCAAACACAACCCCAGCCCTGGCACTGACATTACACTTGGAATCACCCCCTCAGAGAATCAGAGGCCATAAAGAGGGCAGGGTTGGATGCAGTTTGCCTTCACAAGGTTTTAGAGTCACAGAATGGTTTGGGTTGGAAGGGACCTTAAGTTTCACTTATTTCCAATTCCACCAAGCTCTGTCCAACCTGGCTCAGCAGGATTTTATTCCAGATTCCTTTGGAGCCATCCAGCACCAAAACACCCACTTTACCTGGAAGTTGTAAGGTCCTTATTACAAAAATAACCTGCAGTACCAAGGAAGAGCCTTCTAGAGGACACAGTGAAGGCACTGCTGCCCTCAGTCCCCCGCCCTTGCAAACAGAAGTTGCACATTTTGCTGTCTCTGAGCTCATCAGTGTTCTCACACAGAATTATTTATGATCACAGCTACAGCAAGACTGTGAAAACCCCACCTCATTTCCCACCCACCTGCCTGAGATAAGGACATTCTGACAAAAATACTGCACAGCCTTCACTAGCATTAGGGGGAAGTGAAAGAACAAGAGACAGTGGACACAAGCTGGAAGAAAGGAAATTCTGATGAGTTATTGGGAAATTTTTTTCCCACTGAATGCTGTCAAATACTGGAACAGGGGTCCCAAAAAGTTGTGAAACTCTATCCCTGGAGATATTTAAAACTCAACCAGACAATGTCTGAGTGACTCGATCTAAATTGGTCCTGCCTGGAAGTGAGGTTGGACCAGAGATCTCCAAATTCTTTCCAATCTAAAATAATTCTATGATTTTATTAATTATTTTGTTCCTCAAAGGACTAAGCTGTGGATCCATCCCAAAAGGAGTTCCAGGTAGTGGAAATAAAGATATAAATCTGTTAGAGAGGATGCCACCCCTCAGGTGTTTCAGGCAATTCATACTGTGAGCTGCCAAGCACATTCTCTAATCATTGAACATGCTGAGCTATGGAATGATTCCCAAGCTCAGCTGCTGATGTTTCATGACTGGCACTATCTGCACTCAGCTCTGCTTAAAGGTTTTTTTGTTTGCTTTGTTTTTTCCCTTCTTATCAAAATGCACCCTTCACAAATTCCGCTACAGGAAGGGTAAGGTCAAGCTCTGAAGTAAAAAGATTTAGAGCAAAAAGCTAAAGAGCTTCATTCTCCTCAGAAAGGAGGCTATTTAAAAGCAAACACACGTAGCAGATGTGGTCAGTGGTTGGGTGCAGCACTCCCCTCTAATTAGCTCTGCCCAAGGGAGAGATCCCAGAGATCCTGGCTGTGGTGGATGTCACCATTCCTTGGCAGAATGTGCCAAGGATTTGGGATGGAGCTTGGCTGCTGGGAGCACTGCAGTGCCACAGCTCCTCTGCCCTCTCAGCCTCCATTTTGAACATTATTTGTGGTTCTTGCACAACTCTGTTTGGCAGGACTTTCATTCACTTCTTATCTCAGTTGGGTGAATTTTTAACAGCAGCAGCTTCAGGATGTGGCTCGGAGGAGGGTTTAGCTTTGGGCTGGCACTGAAGGAAGTGGACACTACCCCAAGCCCCTCTCCTGTGCACAGGTGAGATCAGAGATGATATAAACTCCACTTCCCAAACTGAGCCACATTAGCCATTAGTGAAACACAACAGTGAGCCCTGAGCCAGGAGTTTTCCAAGCATAATTAAAGCTGTGGCCTGGCAGCTCTAATTCTTCAGGAGGAGAATGTCAGTGCTCCACCAGCACTCCTCAAACCAGTCTAATTGTCATCAAACAGACTGAATTAAACTCCTGTTACAATTCTAAGTATCAGCAGAGTTATCTTCACATAAACAAACTTACCTTTTCCCTAGTTTACACCTCCTAACACTTCTCAGGTCACATCTCATCACAGAAAATGCCACATAAGAGAAAAATATACAACAGCCCAGCACTTAGAAGTACATTTTTTACATAGTTCCCTTGTTTTTTTTTTCATGCAGGAGAACCCTTTTATTTATTTATTCACTGAAAAGATCTTTACTCAAAATGCTTTTTTTCTGCAGCCAAACTACTGCCCAACTCCTGCTGGCGAGGAAAACTCTCCTGCATGTGGGTTAGCCTAAATTAGGAGGGGGAAAAAAAAAGTTGAAAAGCAGAGATAATTTTACTTTATAAGATCTTGAGCCTGGATTAAGAAGGTGATAAAACCAGACTCTTCCTTTCCAGCAGCAGAGCCCAGCCCTTGTCTGTGATTTCTGCTGAGGGTGGCTGGCAAGGTCTGGCTCACTCCAACAGGCAACTACAGGCCAAGGGATGAATCAAGTTTTCCAGGCCTCACCAGTTAGAAGTGACTCATTTAAACCCTGGATTAGAGCACTGGGATTGCTCTGCTCGTTGCAGATAAGCAGCTGATTCCCTGAATACAATTTCACATTCAAAGCAAGGGGACTGGAAACCTTTCCTGTCAGCCCTGCTCCGACAGGCTCGCAGAGCCGAGCGTGACTCGCTGAGCTACACCCGCAAGCAGTGGCTCTGCTGAAAAAATAAAGAGTTTGGCTCCGTGAAAACACCATCAGTGTTCCCCCTCTGCAGTGCAGATTCCACTGCAAAATATAAATCTGGAGGTATGAGATGCTGCCTTGGGTTTATGCTGGTCAAAAAACAACGTGGGTCACATCTATGTTATTCCAAAAGGTGTCAAGTTCATCTATCAGTGAGTTCTTTCTGGATTTTTGTAATATTCGTTATTTCTGCCTTGCAAAAGAACTACAGAATAAGACACATTCCATAATTAGAAAGCACTTGGCAAAAATACCATGGGAAAGAAACCACCCTAAACAGGCCAGGAATTTGAGAGCCCTTCCTCTTGCAGGTCAGAAGAATGTCTTAATCAAAAAATAGAAATGTCTTTAACCTGTCACATGTGTCCTGCTGTCCAGATTATCCTGATCTAAAACTGATTAAAATGCCTCACATTCCTAAAACACCTTATAGCAGAAGCTGAAGGTTCTGAGAGACATTTGTCCCACTGCTTAGGAAAAACACCCTGTGTCCAAGAGAGGATGAACATCTGACTGCAGGATAAGGATAAATCAATATCCTGCCAAAGAGCCAATGCTAAATATTGTAACAGGTTTGATAAAAAGGCAAAACCTCCTATGTTATTAGTTCTTCTAATAATTGTCTCTTTTCTACCCAGTTTTTGGATTAAAGCATCTCCTCTTCCCCTCTCAAGAGTGCTCCAAACAAGTAGTCATGAGCAGAGGTTTGAACACAGGACATTGGCCCCTGCAGACACAACATTCCTGCACAGTTATGAAACTGCACACCTAGAAGGGTTAAACCAAAAGCTCATTATACTCACTCAAAAGGTGCCTCAAGATGATGAAAGTTCCTTCACTTTACTGCAAACTTCATGACATCACAAGTTGACTGAATTCCCAGATTCGTGTGAAGGTGTTTGCAGGATTACAGAGAAAACCTTAAAAATAGTGAGGTGTGGCCAAAAGGGTTCAAAAACCAGAAGACAAAGAATATTTAGATTATTATTTTGGATTCTAATTTATGCTTTGTAATGCCTAAAAGTGTCAATACTGGTTTTGTTTGTTTCAAGAAAGCTTCATCAGTGAGAACACCAAACTTCTTTTCTTCCCAAGCTCAGTCTTTCAATAAATTAAATAAAAAAAAAAAAAAGAAGTATTGCAAAAAAGTGGAGATGCACATGTCTCCTTGGATTCCTGCACTTTCTCTGCCAGTGCTGTTCCCTGTTTTGATGCCCCTGGTGATGGATTAAAAAGCACATATGACAGGCTTGTATTTAGTTATGGCTCTCGCACACACACAATAATTCTGGGTCTGTGACGTGAGCGAAAACAGAAACTGGGTTAATCTAACAAATTAAGATAAATTTTCCTTGTTGTTGCTTTCTGCTGAAGCAGTGAAACAGAAATGGCTGGCTTTGACAGTGGCCATCAGAACAAAGTCCCACTTTATAATTACCAGATGCCCTTAATGTGATGCCAGTTTGTCTCATGCCCGTGGCTGCTCCCGCTCACGGCCCTGTCAGGGTTTCCCTGATTTTACAAACACACTCCAATCCCAACAGCAATTGTTGCACTGACTCCAACAACAAAGTTTAAACCCAGCAGTTAATTCCCTGTGATTGCTCTGGCACAATCATCTGCAGCAGCTCCCCTGCAGCGGCTGTGGCAGGGACGGGTTTGGAGGGAGCTGGTAACACAAACAGCCTGACTCAGTTCAGCTGATGTGCATTCCTGCCGACTGACTTTCCAAACAGTCACTCCTAGTGGCAGGACCTACATCTTCCTTTTAAGGGGAAAAAATGTTTTCACAGGAAAAATTAAGTGTTCAAAGCCTGTGCATATCTCTGTGCTTCCAGTGAGTCTCGCCTTTAAAAACACTTCTTGTTGCATGCAGAACAAAAACTTCTCCTTCCTTAATTTAAAATTGTTCCTCTTTTTTAACACAGCCACTGGCTGTCTGCCCATCCCTGGCACTCTCAGGTGAAATATCCTAGCACACAAACCAGCACTGAACAGAGCTGGTTTTCCAGAGGAAGAACTCAATCTGAGTGAGGAAAACACGATGAAAAGAACAGGGAATGTACAGGCTGCAGACAAAACTTTACAGCTCACACTGCTGACTGACAGTTCCTATTCCTCACATTTCTTTTCCTGCATTTCTGAAAAGAGGCTCAGTGTTAGAAAGGGCTTAAGGCTGGAAAGCAAAT